TGACGCAATAAGAATGGTATTAGAGCCATATGATCTTACCCTGATAAACAGTTTTTATATCACAACTCTGTCCAAGTTCTGTTAAAAAATTGTTCATCAAAGTCGGATTAGTGACAAACCTTAAAGTCGTATTAGTGATAAGCCGCCAAAAGTCGTGGTCAGAGCCCAAGAAGGCCATAAATCCATTGACTCGATTGACTCGAGTGTGTAATCACTCTATTGAGTCACAAGGTAGCCATACTCTTGACTCGATGGCAAGCTTTTTCAGAACTAGTTCACAAAGGTCTGATAATAAATCTAGTTCATCAGGAAGGACTGTTAAAAATACTAAAGAAATTGTCATAGCCAATATTGAAAGAGATCTAAATAATTGGAATATACCAAAGATCTCTACTTCTGAAATTTATAGCAAAGGAACTTTTGAATTTAAGAGTGACTATGCTATAAAAACCGAAGAAAAAACAGTGTCTGCTCTTAATACTAAAACTATTGTTAGCCTATTGACTAAATGCAGAATAGAAGATTTTAGGAAAAGAAAATATAATTATTAGCTGTTACCTATAGAGTTTGTTATAAAGCTATGACTACTATTTCTCCTAATGTTAAAAAAAAAAGTTACCAAAGGACAAACAGTCTTATTTCAGACTAATGTCAAGAAATCAAATCTTATTACTCCTAAAACAATTTGTTAGGATCAGGGTAAGTTACCTGAAAAATGGACACTACCTTGTGTGGTACCACCAAGGCCTGTGCAAAACCAGAACATAAGCCAAATAACACAATATGACGAAGGAAGAGTTGAGATACGGTTCTCCCCTCTACTTCAAACTCTTCTAAATCAAAATAGAACCCCTCAGATTCCTAGGCAACCACTTAGAATGTCCTTCTCTTCTGTACCTCAAACTGAGCATGAAAAGAAAAATAATGAAGAAAAAAGTATCTATCAAAATCAATAGGGTCCCAGCACACAGGTAGCCCTATACTAGTGGACGAAGAGTCTTGCTTCGGCCAACTACACCCAAAGGTCACAAGCAAGAGTTCCCACTAGTGCTATGCCTGATCTGCTCAGGGCAATGGCTTTGATACCATTTCATTCCCGATCTGGCCGGCAGTAACCCCGGACCCAGCTCAAGCAGCCAACAAAAGGTACCTATCAAAACCAACAGGGTCCCAGCACACAGGTAACCCTACACTAGTGGGGGGAGAGTCTTGCTTCGGCCAACCACACCCAAAGGTCACAAGCGAGAGTTCCCACTAGTGTTATGCCTGATCTGCTCAAGGCAATTGCTTTGATACCAATTCATTAACAAATTTAACAAATCATTACGTCGGGAATACAATATCATATGGCTCTGATACTTTTGAGACACTCATACGATCACAACCTCTATGACACTCATACGGTCACAACCTCTATGACACTCATAAGTCAACCTCTATAACACTCATACAGTCACAACAGGTTTAAGAAGAGAAAGCCCTCTATATTAGCACCAAAGGAGTTAATATGCTAGAAGAACTTGATAGTGAAGAGATCCTTAAACTAGAGGAGATGTTTAGAGAAACACAAAACTCTTCTAAAATAAATAGTATCAGCTATGGAACCAAAACCAGGCCTACTGCAACTACCAAGATGTACTATCCTCGCCCTTCTCCTGTACACCTACAGTATGAAGAGGATATATTTTCAAACGCAGTACAATATGATGGAAGGTCTATTGTAGAATGGAATATAGATGCCCTATCAAAATACCAAAAGATGAACGTGATTAAACATATGGTGATGCATGCAGCAGCATCTGCCAATCATGGTAACAGAGATCCTGATATTGCAAGATCCATAATAAATGGATTTATAGGACAATTAAAAGGATGGTGGGATTTTTACCTCAGAGATCATGAAAAGGATGCAATCCTTACTGCAAAAAACCAATCTATAACCACTACTTTTAATCAAGGTATTAAACAAGAAATACCTATTCAACAAGATGATTGTGTCAATACCTTTATCTATACCACTGCCCTTAATTTTATAGGAGACACCTCAATTTGGAATGAGAGAACCATGGAACTACTAGAAAACCTCAGATGCCCTAACCTTTCACATTACCGTTGGTATAAGGATGTTTTTCATACCCAGTTATTAACCCATAATGATGCAAGAGATGTGCATTGGAAATCCCAATTCCTTAATGGTCTACCTACTCTATTCAGAGAAAAGGTAAAAAACAAGACTCAAAAATGCAAATGGGGGAAAAGAGATCCCTTACGAAAATTACACCTTGGGGCAATTGGATAATGAGATTTATGCCACTGGTCTTGAACTATGTACTGACCTTAAGCTTAGGAAACAACTAGAAAAACAGAAATCACAAGAAAAAGAGAAATGGGTGATTTCTATGAACAATTTGGGTATTACCCATTTCCGGGGAAAACCCACTCTAAAAGACACAAGAATGAGTATAAAAGGAATAGAAAGTATAATAGAAAGCAAAAAAGGAAAGATTTTAAGCATAATAAGATAAAAGAAAGCGGTGATCCTAAAAATAGGACACGAAGTAAAATTCCCGTTTGTAAAATATGCGAACGATATGGCCACTTCGCCAACAGGTGCAGAACAAAACAAAAGATAAACGGAATCACAGATTGAGGTCTCAAGAAGCAATTAGAACAAATATTACTTTTAGATGATTCTTCAGGGGATAACCTGTCACAGATAGAGACAGATTCAAAAGATGAAATAAACGAAATTTATGATGCCAGTGAAACTGCTGAGGAGGAATGTACAAACACCGATTCTGATAATTGCAAGTGCAATTACTATAAGGCCTTACTAGATATGCAAGGACTGAGTCTTAATATGCTTGCTAAAGAACAAAATCTAATCCTAGATATCATAGATAAAATTGAAGACCCCTTAGAAAAAAGAGATGCTTTGGTAAAATACCTTACTAAAGAAAAGCCTAAGAACAAGGAGATCAAACCAAGCTATGACTTTAAACAAGTCTTAGAAAGAGTAAATAATAGACGAATATCTGGAGAAAAAGAAACTACAATTTCTGAACTTAGGTTTGAAGTTAAAAATTTGAAAGACGCAATACACATAACAGGGTAACTATCTTAGAAAACATCAAGTATGAGAATCCAATACAAGAAAACTTACCGACTGAGTTTGAGGAAAACAATGAAGAACAAGATGAAAATATAAATCTCCTCGAAAAACAAGATGAAAATATAAATCTCCTTGAAAAAACTGATCTTAAGCAATTGGAATATATAAACGTGATAAATAAAGTAATCACCCAAAAATGGCATACTAAAATGGTAGTATCCAAAGAATATAGTTTTAATGCTATTGCTCTCATAGATTCAGGAGCCATTCTTAACTGTATTAATGAAGGATTAGAACCTTCAAGATATTTTCATAAAACTACTCAAATGCTTAATACAGCTAATGGGAAGAGACTCCTAATGTTAGTGCGTCAAGGTTATAACCTGACGCACTAACAATAGGACATACAGCTATGTCCTATGGTAACAGGTTATGTCAGTAAGTCCTAGGTAACAAACTTATGTCTATGACTAGGACATACAGTTCTCCCCTCTACTTCAAACAGGGAAATTATATCCTGTTGTGACACGTGCTGCATAGAGGGAAACTTTCTCTTCTATATGACTAGGAGATAAGGTTCTCCCCTACTTATGAACCATTTGGGTATTACCCATTTGTTCACAATGAACATAAACTTATGTCCTAGTTCAAACTCTTAAACCTGTCCTCTATGACTAGGACTTACGTAGTGTCACAGAAATGGGAGACCCGATGAAGTGTAACCTCTTAATCGGGTCTCAAAATTGAATACAGTATGTCAACCTGATGTCCTAGTCATACAGAAGAGAAGGCCCTCTATAAAACTCTGCTGTTATATAGCTTGACTAGGACATACTATTTTTGGAGTTTCTCTTGTGACACGGGCTGCAGTAGCCTCCCAAGTTTTGGTTGTTTAATGTATCTTCTTCATTTATTAACTAAAAAGAGAACATGTAAATTAAGTAGTCAATTACTCTTAGATCAAAAACTTCTAATCATATTCAATCAGATGACCTCCCATTTTCTGATCATTTACAAGATCGTTATGCTTGTTAACAGAGAATGGAAACAAAATTACCATTCTCATATAGTTAAAATTACCGTTGGATCTAAAAGCTCACAGATAGCTTATTAAAGAGATTGGTTTCGATGAGTAACTCTAACCGCTGCTCATAAAAAATGCATCTCATATTTATTATCTTTCATTTAAAAATGCATCTCATATTTATTATCTTTCATTTAAAAATGCCAATAACAACATAAGACACAGAAAAGGACAGATTCGCCTGAATCGCAGAGAATCCCACAATTAGCTTAGCACAAATTGATATTCAATGCAAACAATAAAACATGAAGGAAAGGAATACAAAACATATATCACAACATGTAAAAGACTAAAAGGAAAAGGAGTACAAAACACATATCACCATGAATGGATTTTCAATCAGCAAGCTGCAAGGCATGCACAACCAATTTGGAAATTAGCTCAACCATATTGTGCACTGCTCTTTCTTAAAGTTTCATTGATGTTATCGCCATCATAATTTAATTTAAGTGGTTGAAATGCTAAATTCCAGCTTCCAGTAGATAAGTGCATTCCTAAATTACCCACACATGTATGCATGTATATCCCACCAACCTCAACAATAACTCAAAGTACCAAATGCAACAATCCTTTGTATATGTATCAATGTATGCAATGTATAAAAAAAGTAAAATAAACATTGAAAATAAAAAAATAAAAACACTAACAGGGATCTGCATATAGCAAGTCCATAATAGGCTATGCTCCCCTTAAAACTCCTAAACCATACGGAAAATATCTTAAAAAATTAAATTCAAAGAAAAATAAGGTACCATGCATACATGCACACAAAAAATAATTATAGGAAATAGGAACAGGGTTTACCTGGATTAGAGTTTTGAGGGTGTCTAAAGGGTAAGTAATGGCAGTGGCAAATGTAACTGAACCAGCACCAGCAGCCAAGTGTATTGGAAAGCCACCGTTTCTTAGAAGCTCGTCTATAGTCATTTTGGATGTTCCTCTACGATCGGACTGGTTTTGCTCAAAATGGGTAGTTGTAAACCCTAAAAATGGCATTTGCTCAAAATGTATTTGCCCTAAAAATGGCATTTGGGATGCCTATTGTTTCTCAAAAGCTCCTCCATAGTCATTAGTGCAGTTCACCAACTACAATAGCTGGTATTCCTTATGATGCTTGCACAAGGCAGAAAACCCCGGAAATGGTATTTGGGGTTTCTCAGAAAACCTTAGAATGGCATTAGATGACCCTGGAAAATAAGAGGGAAAACTCAAGGTTTGTAGATGCTTGACTTCAGATAAAGCGAGAACTTGGTGTTAAAAGCAAAGACTAACAATGGTTTTGCTGCTGAAGTGTACTGTGTAGCATAATCCAACAGGAAATGTTTTGGTAAGGTTGCAGCCTTACCTGTTGGGAAGTGTTTTGATAAGGCTGCAGCCTTATGCTCTGGAAGCCTTTGATACCTCTTTTTCCCATGTCCCTCTCTCTCTCTCTCTCTCTCTCTCACACACACACACACACACACTCACACACACACACT